CAAAGTTTCAGCCCCTTAGCTCGTGTGGTTCCCGAGATCGCTTTCCCGCCAAAAAATTTGCTTATTATTTTAGAGCGTCCGTACACTGTACCCAGGCGTCCGAGGGGAATGAAATTAAAACGGGAGGGTCGTGGATGGTATGGACACATGCTCCCAAAGTTTCAGCCTTCTAGCTTTTCTGGTTCTCGATTGGAAAGTGGGTGAGAACACACAGACACACACGCACACACAGTCTTTTCCCGATATGCTTTTTTGCAATTTGCATATATGCAAAAACGCATAAAAACGACCGCTAGACGGAAATTGTTTATTTTCGTTTATAAAAAATTTGCGGTGATTTACGATATTGAGCGCACAAGGTAGATGTGAAAAAATAACTGTTCATGCAGCTAACTTAATTAGTTCAAGTTTGGTGCAAAAACGCATGATCGCACCAGCTCGTCTGGTGCGTTCCAGCCCGGGTTTGCTTTCAGCAACAACTTTTGAGCTAACGACAACTCATTTGATGCTCTGTGACTCAGAACAATTGTGTCCTCCTTTAAGTCTAAGCGAGAATGTTCTTTTGGCTTTCACTTTTTCCCGTCTGTCATTCTTGCTTGTAGTAGGGATAATTGTTTCATACTGCTTTTGGCGCAGCCTCTCAGGCTTTGCCTGGCACCACGCAGTCTTTAGTCTTTTTTCTCGTAAACAAAAAATTCCACATTGGTAAGCCTAGAGGGATGTGCAGGCGGTAAGTCAATTGCTATTCATCTTTCTGATGGCAACACTCAGATACTTGTTACTGCAGCTTCTGAATTTCTACAACACCTTTCTCCCCTCTTTTTTTTCCTAGACTGCCCAAAGGTCACCGGTGCATATTCTAGTGATGCACGTTTTTCCAGAAAGATTGAAAAATTTCGTTTTGTAAGGGGGCAAAAAATGTAAGAAACTTAAGATGTAACTAATGATTGCAACAGGATTTTTTTGTTTTTAATCCCAGGAGCGTAAAAGCAGCTTTGAGTTATCCATCAGAAATTTGTTCTGTACCAGTTGCAGACGGAACGGTCACACGTAATCCCGGCTATGACCACTGATTCACAGCCGCTGGAGATTCAACATGATTGTACATATCTGGTACACATGCATTCGAAGCCGTATCCCTACGGCGATCCAGCTTTTGCAACTACTATGAAGTATACCGTACCAACATGCATTGATGGTTACTGTAGCTGCGCTAGTAAGCACTATCATTTCCAAAATTTGTCGTTGCATTTGGCGCTTTCACAGCAGTGCTTATAAGATTTGCAATAATAATGGACTTTGCTGCCCTAAGTGTGGGCTAATGAATGAAAGATCAGTCTGCCGGGCAGCAGGATAGAGTTGAAATTTGTGTTTATATATTTTGTTTAGGCATTATAATTAATATCACTTTCATATAACCGAGTGGGAGTGCTTGCTTTTGCGCCAGATCCATGATACTACTTTCAAATCGTTCTTTCAAAAAGACCCGCAACGTTCTTCCATCAGTGCCAAGAATTTTAACTGTTTTTTGAGCTTGTTTTGAAACTGGCTATGTATACTGAGTACTATTTAAGGTCAAGCTGTTGTGCCAGTACCGGAAAATGTGACAGTGGCGACATCCCAAGAGAGCGGCGCAGTGAAAGCCTTTGTCAGCTGGTTCTATCCGAGCGTCATTGGCCACAAACACCAGTTTCGATTTGATCTCAGCGAAAGGTTGCTTTCACAAAATATCTTTTTTCGGATAACCGGTAAGCATCCAACACTATTTCAACAATAATTGTAGATTTCATCACAATCAAATGCATTTTGGCGACCCGACCGCATTCAGATATCGCATCGCCGAGATGCCTCCTCACGTCGTCTACGCTGAAGAGGTGAACTGCTCAGTTAAATACTTTGAGTTCTATTTCTAATCAAAATTAAGGGAAATGCTTTTTGCTCATGCTCATATTTTTTCTTGCATTTTAGAATGTGACGTCGCTTTCAACGATACTGCCTATTGATCTGTCGCCTAATGAGGAATATAGGCTAACGATCTTTGCTATGAATGACCAGTTGTGTCACAGTGATGATGTCACCGTACCTTTTTTTACGGAGCCTGCCACAAGCCAGGAAACCATTTTGAAACCAACTGGTAATTCTCTTTTTTTTGCCATCTCTTAACATAAACTGGCTGCCGTCTTTTAGCACTTCAAGTCTTCTTTCTTGTTTGACCAGTTATTGCAGCCAGGATTTTTTCACAAGAAATTAAATGTCTGTCTGACTGCAACGAGCAAAATTTGGAGAATATTAACAAGTGAATATGACTGTGGAGGTAGGAGAAGTTTATAATGGGTGTAATCTTCAATAAATATTGCGAAATTTAGTCACTGACGAAAGTTGAAGGGCGATTATAATGGAGTGTGTGGTGGAGCAAAGGATGCGATTTTCGAGTTCCTTTGCTCCATCAGATAAGCGGCCTGAAAAGTCGCAGTGGAGTAACGAAGTTACGTGATGAAGTAGAATCCGGTGGGCAGAACATACTGCTGGTTTTTCTGACAACTGGTGGACGTCGCGTAGCAGTAAATGGTACCCGCGATAAAATAAGCAGCCATTCACTCGACTGGCTTTTGACGAGGTGGCATACATACATCAAGAAACGGTCGGTATTGAGTAGAAGTTTGCATTCCAGTATCGAAGAGTACTGGACTACAAACCTCTACTTAACTGTTTCCGGATTTTTAGAAGTATTACATTAACATCACTAACATGGGATACCCATACTGATTGCCTGGAGGGTCTTTGTATCAATAGTTTTGGAAAAGAAATAATTTCTCATCCTACTGATCCTAAATTGGCAAAAAAGTTAAAAATACCCTTCCAGCAAAGCGCTTTGCTTCGTGCTGGACCTATGCATTTGTAGAACGAAAGAGATTCTTTTCGATGCTGATTCTTCACGCTCATAAAATACCCCATTAGCACTGCAGGTATCAGCAATGATACAGAGAGCAGCCACCACAAGGAAGTGCAGCATAATGCCACCGGAACGGTTGCTCCAGATGACGGCCCGACGATTCGTGAGCCTGCAGCAGGAGGCTCGTTATACCCTCCAGTAGCGGTGCTGACAACCACGTTTGCACTTGTCACAGCGGTTGCATTGGCGTGTTGCTTGGCGTACTGCTTAGTGTGCAAATTTTACAAAAATGGTAAATCGCAGATTGAGAAGTCGTCGATCATTCCGTGGGCCATGGCGCATTCCAGGTAACATTTATTGCTCATCACTTTGTCGCATCACCTGGCCCTTAGCCAGATGATTAAGGATTTCCTAGAACAGCTAAAGTGCCGGAATTATTTAGCTACCTCTTTGTGTTTCACGAGGAGTCCTCGATCCATTTTGTACATCATCAAGCTGTTTAATCAGTGCCCTCGAAGCAGCTTTCTTGGCACTTACAGCTTTGGATAGTAAAATGCTGCCCATACTGAATATTTTACTCGAAGGCTGCAAAAAATGGCCTGTTTTAGCCATTCGATGCTAGAAACGAACATCCTGTACCGCCGTGCCACCAATTCGGCGTCGCAAATCGACTATGAGATACCATTCAGCCAAATTCAAGTTGGCGGTATCATTGGGCAAGGTTTGTTCTTCATTTCCGACTGTTCCAACCTTCACTTCAAATTTCAT